GGATCTTTGTGGTGCCACCAAAGCAAACTACCCACAAACCATCACTGAGGAAGGGTGATGACCTCTTTCCACTGTTCCAATGACTTCCTGGGCTTCTTTAGAGCTGTGTGCATACACACGGTCATTTTGGCGATTAAATTGTTCTTCAATTGTAAAAATGTTCTCTTCGCTAAACAAAATCTTTCGATAAAGACCATTGGTGTAACGGCCAAGGTGATCTTTGCATCTATCCACTCCTTTATCTTGTCATTCTTCGAAATGCACCCATCCTAATATCACTTTTTATTATCCGAAACATTGATCTGAAAGAGATTCCCATTTCCCGAGACATGATTTGTTGTTTTCGAATGGGATTTCTTCTGATTCGAGCAGCCACTCCTCACAGTAGCATTTGCCGTTCTCACAGTGCGGGGATCGTCCGGTCGAGGTCTGTCACATACAGATAGGGTCTCATTATATCTATTTATAGTGCGATATACGATCATACAGCTGATACCCAAAGATTTTAAAGTGTTGAAAATCTCTGATCTACATTTTCCAACGTTGTATAAGGCGATCACAGCTATTCCGTTTTCTTTAAAACCCCATTCCTTGTTCACGGAGCGAAAGAAAAATAGAAACTAATTGGGATTATTATCCTGACATGTAAAGAAAATAATCTGATAAGAGGTAAGGATTATCTAAATAATACTCAAGGATGTAAACAAAGTTCAACTTTTGTAACATTATTTATGGCAGAACTAGGTATTTTGTTATCACCATCTTTTCAATCATTATAGTAATTATCTAAATATATAACCTGTTTATATTTACAGTCCTATTACGTTTTTCTTTCAATTTCGTTTACCTGAAATTTATAATAGAGTTTAGATAAAATTACAGCAGAGATAAGTGTTCCTAATGTTTCGTTTTTACACGATTAAGCGAAGTGACACAAGGATCGTGTTTAGATTGTCCGCTAAAAACTATGTAACGATTTCTTAAGCGAACGGCTGGATAGTTTCATGGCTCAAATTTTTCGGTGAGATTATTAAAGGCACAAAATTTGTTTTTCAATATGGCTGATGATGGTGTTTTGAACTAAATGTAAAATAAGATGTGCATGAATTGCATAAATCCAGATAATGCAAGTTACCCGTCTGGTAAGATACACGGCATGTCATGTATCAAACAAATCTCTAACTATATTTACATGTCCTTCAGATTTTGGATTATAAAACTTATATCCGCCTCTTGATGGCTGTGTCAATAAATATAAAAAGTATTTATTGAGTAAGGATATGATCCGGGGTGGCGGTCATAAGAATAGTGAAAAAATTATTTTATTTCAAGCCAACGTTTCGACCCGCCCTTGCAGGTATTCTTCAGGAGAATGTATGCAGCATGTTGCAATGTTTTTAAAAACTTATTTTGATTCAAACAATATGACTCAGTGGGAGAAGAACATTTAAACTTCAAAATTATCTACAGAAAATGTTTGTATCTCAAAATTTATCGTTTTTGTTGATTTTGAATTTAATGGCCCCATATATTTGCTACGGACACCTGTTATATATCAGAAGGATAAACGTATCTAATTTTTAAATAGAACTTGATATTTGTAAACAATTGCTGGTTTTATTAATAACTAGTTGCAGCCCACTGTTTCTCCCGCATCAGTCTTGGGGTTATTATACATTTAATTCATATTATATTTGGGGTGTACATTTTATTCATACGTTTAATACACATGTTAATTACTAAACCAACTGCAACTGATTTATCTGAATAAAATCCGAAATTTACGTTAAAACACTAAAGCACCAGATTTAGTAAGAAAATTTCATTTAATTTCCTTGAAAACATGTGATTTACCAAATAATGTTACTTTTCTGATATTATTATTTATATTTTTTTTTGGCATTCTCCGTCACCTTCTAAAACTTTATTTATTTGATATTATTTTTTTTTAATTCTCAGCTATCCAACGATATATTGTACGTATAACTTCTGACTGTTATTTCCGGAGATTCATTTTCGACCTGGACAAGCATTTTTATTTTTTTCTCCAGTTTCCAATTATCATATTCTTTCATACTTCATATTTAACCATTTGTTATAGTTACTGTCAATAAAAGAGAGTTAATTTGTTTAAATAAATCATATTAAAGGTACTTTAGAGAAAGACGTATATGAACATTGGCCATTTAAGCCGTGTAAGGACATCAATGGAGATAAGACCTAAATGATAAAAAAAAAAAAAACTGTTTCTTCAGCATCTTGGGGTTATACATTTAATTCATATTATATTTGGGGTTTACATTTCATTCATACGCGTAATACACATGTTGATTACTAAATCTACTGCAACTAATTTATCTCAATAAAATCTGAAATCTGAAAACACTAAAGTACCAGATTTAGAACAAAATTTCAAGTGGTTGCTCAACTGTGTATTCCTTGTTATGTTCACACAATATATCTGTCAATAGAAAAAAACATTAATAAAATGCAATAAGATAATTTACCAGAAAACATCTTCATTTTGATTGATTTACGCCAAGGTTCTCCAAACTATGGCCCGTAAGCAATTCCGATCTGGCCCCCCAGTTTATTTCATTACATGGTCAAATTTAATTTTTTTTTTACTCATATCTATCAAAAATACTGAAAATCGGTGATTCTGACGTCGGAAAGAGTAATAGAAGTGGCATTGATCGGAATGAGGAATAGGAATGCCCAGCTGCGCCTCTTTCTCTCTTGATTTTAGTAAAAAAAATATCCCTCATCCAGCTTCTTTTGAGCTTCCTAAGCCTCTTGCCATATCTTGTATGAGAGTGTAAAGATGTGGAATCTTTTGTAGTGGGCCTGTATGTACGTATTAACTGCTGACGTGTGAAGTTCTTTATGTAAAGTAACGCTTGTGACGTACCATGGACCTTTATTTATAGTTTTGAAAGATTTTTGAAAAGTTTCTAGTCTTCAATGTGGGACGTTTTCGCGCTCTCGTATATGATTAAAGCGCATATCCAAATCTACTTGAGTAGATAAATTTATATGTGCAGTTTCTATTTTAAATTTAATTTTGAGGTTTAAAAAAATTGAGTGTAATAATTGAAGTCTGAGGTTTGTTGTAAATTTTATAAATGATTTACAGAGCATAAAATTAATTAAATCATTTAACCTATATATGATTTATTGCATGAGTTTTTCTGTCATAGAAAGTTCATTTTAGAACTAAGAAATATATTAAAATATAAGTATAAATACTTTTCTTCAAAGTTGATAAAAATCATCATTTGTTGGCCTAGGTTTTGGACTATACCATTTAACCAGATCATTAAGGCGAAGCAATAATTTTATTAAAAATTTAATATTACTTGATTTCTTAAAGAGTAACTTTTTTGCAGAAAAAAACAAAAAAATGTTCTAAAAAATACGTGTTTTCATTAGTTCTAAGGAAGGCAGTGTTAGTGTTAGCATGTTTCACCCATATATACAAGTTGAAGAAAGTTGAAACTCTACTCAAATATTCGCGACATTAATCTGTTACGAACATTTTTTTTTTAAATATGCGACTTTTGAATAGCAAACAATGTTCTTCATCCTTAAAATAACACGCACCTAATTTTTTCAAATTCAAATCATCTGCTAACAGAGCCTCTAGGCAATATCTCTAGGTTTTGATCTGTTTTGTGAGAATTTTAAATAAAGGTCACTGTAAATTAAGGATGAGGTTTTACATAAAAATAAAAAATTAATAATATTGCAGAATGGACCGAAAAATATGTTGATATTTAATTTTGTTTTCATTCATGATATTTACAACTGTATTAAAAAAAATACATCTAGTAATTGTGCACTCAGGAATATAATAACATGAAATCGCTGTTTGAGAAACTACCCAATGGTAGCACTCAAATAATAAATTTACACGAGAAGATCACGAGGCCACTTTATTTTCAAACGTCTCGGAGGTTTATCAGGAATCGAGGAGGAAGCAAGGTTTAAAACGAGAGGGTTTGGATGGTTCTGAAGTTTGTTATGGAATGATAGGTATCTGGATTGGACCAAATCGGAAACAAGTAAGGAGCGTTGAGGATTTTACTAAGGATTTTGGATACGAGAGGAATTCAATTGTTTAGTGGAGCCCCAAAGATCAATTCCGTAGTCCAAATAGATCATATTATTGTCATATACGTAAGTCTTTTGTAATTGATTGAAAGCTTAAAGGGTTTGTCTAGTAAGTGCTGAAGTAGTCGGAAACGTCAAGAGGTTTCTTGTCGTTTCAGTCTTGTATGAGGATTCCATGTGAGTCGTTTGTTCAGGTGGAGTCCTAGGTAACGGATTTGTTCAACTGGGAGTTTCAATTAAAAAAAAAATATATAATAAAAAGTTCCAATATTGCTACTACAAGAAATAAATATTTAAAAAAATCGATGTTTTTATGGCGATGTAACGGTAAGAACGGTTTTTAACTTGTGATGGTTTTGAACATCATTATATCGATATAAGGTGCTAAAAACGAATATCAACTTTGTTTTTTCTAAAAAAATATATTTAAACCTAAATTGTCACCTCGGGATGTACAGTTTGTTTCAATCTTTTTTTGTCCCTAGAGAAAAATATATCGAAAAATATTTTTTTCCTTTTTTTGCAGAATAAAAATAAATCGATTGGTATATAATTACATAGATATTCTAACTAAAAAAAGGCAAATGAAAATAACTTTTTTTTTTAAATACATACAATTATTTTTTTCTTGTTTTCTAAGTCCCATTGGAACGAACACCTAATATTTTTTTTATGTAAAACCGTAAAAAAAAAATTGGTTGAATTAGTGACCCACCGAATGCGACCTCCACTTGTTAGTAAATTGTGAAATTGAAAAATAAAGTACGTTTTGTGGGAGTATCGTTTTACAATAAACCATTTTTTTTTTTTTTACATTTTACCAGAATTCTATATTGTAAAAAGTACCTAAATCAACATATCAGACTGTATAACCAAAAACTACTCACTTATATTGGTGAATAGTGGGCTCGGAGACTTTCCCATAACTTGACAGCTACAGAGCGGTCGAGTGACCATGGGCAGGATGCCGCCTTTGCCAGCGCTGCCTGAGGACTGCCATCGCCATGGATTGGTCTTCATCCCCACTCGTTTCAATTCGCACAGCGAAGATCGCCGATTCGGACATGAACTGCCCATCGCTAGGTCACACCTCTTTGCTCCAATAAGTTTGGAAAAAATGCTATGCCCACTAGAATCATTAGATTATAAAATATTACAATCAAATGGTTCGAAGTGATAGAAACCATTGCCGGCGAAAAGGAAAAAAACAAAAATAATTGACTACACTGAAATATATATTTCTTTCCACATGTGTCCACTCACACGACTTTCCTACCGATTTTAAACAAATACATACAACTTTAAATAAGTCCCTAAAAAAAAAAAAAAAAAAAAGTGATTTCTTTGATGAACTAAGAAATGTAAATGGAACCATCATTGAAATCATAAAATGCAGTACACTGCAACTTTGCTAAATACGATTTAGACGATTTTTTTTTGTATGTGTGAAATTCAGTAACCTTTAAAAAAAATAACTTAAAATGATGAATATATATAGTTTTGTAGGGAATTTAATTACCTTTCAAAATACTTTATATAAATTTTGCCACAGAATGTAGGATCTCTGAGTTATTTCTTTTTAACAATTTTTCATGGATTTTCTACTGAATTCTCTACATGTTCAAATATTGAATGAATTTTAAGTTGAAAATTATAGAAATGTTTTATCAAAATCGTTGTAGCCATTTTTGAGCTAAAGTCAATGGCAAAACTGACGCAGGGAACGCCCAATGTTTTTCATAGGCTTTGGGAGTCAAAATCCTACAGAACAAAGGGTATGACTAATTTCCCCATTAGAATTATATTTTATTTTAAAAAAAAAGATCACCACTTCCATCTACATAGTCCTGTCATAAATATTGTTACAAGAAAATATGTACAGATTTTATAGGAATGTTAAGCAACAATCGGAAATTTGACAAGTTTCATCTTTATTTTTTAATTTTGGGATAAGGCTGTTTTTCTCTTAACTTTAATGGACTACAGACAGACATACCAATTGCTGAAAATGTGTTTTCCGAACTCAAAGAGCTATGAATAGTAAAGATCCGTTGTAAATCGGTTAGTAGTGGTAGAAAAGTTAATTGCGGGTTTTTTTGTTTTTTTTTAACTTGATTCTTCAACTCACACCTGTCAGAAGTTCCGACAATCAGCGAGTGTGATGTCAAGATGAAGAGATTGGTCTTGGAATAGGCGTGAGGGAGAGGAGTACCCAGCGGCGTCCTTCCTGTCTTGAATGTAATATTTATAGTTAGTGGAGGAGATCCCTCATCCAACTTCTTTTAAGCCTCCTTCGGGTGCTATCGGGCATGTTAGTTGTGGCCATGCCTCGAATCAATGAGTTTGTATGGCCGTGTAAGTTATTATGAAATCGTTTGTAGTATGTTCGTATGTGGTCGTTAACTGTTGGCATCTGTAAGTCTTTATGTAGAGTAATGTTACTGACGGAGCTTTGGTGATAGTTCTGAAAGTTTTAGATTGAAAAGTCTGTAATTTACGTATGTGAGTCTTTTTGGCTGTCCCATATATCTGTAAAGCGTAGGTCCAAATAGGCTTGAGTAGGTAAGTATATGTATTCAATTTCTGTCTGTTTTAATTTTGAATTTCTTGCAAGGAGTGAGTACAATAGGTTTACAGTTTTTGTTTTGTTTTTTATATGTTGGCCCCATGTCATTCTTCTGTCAAAGGTCAGTCCAAGACACTAGCGGATCCAGGATTTAGTTTTGGGGGGGCTTCAGCCCGACAGTTTTTTTTTTTTTTTTCATATATATATATAACGGTTATTAATTTGAAAAAAAAGAAATTAATTATCTATATGAAATGTTGTTTAAGTGGTTCTTGAAGTCCTATTAAACGTAATTACTCCAACAAGAATACTTTAAGAGATAGTATAAAGTATTTTTTTCTGTAAAATATGGTTACATTTTACTGTTTTGGGGGGTTTCAACCCGAAAGACTTCTCCCCCCCGTAGATCAGCCTGTGGTCCAAGATATTGAACTCTGTCTGTCTGAGGAATTTGGATATTGTCAAGGTAAATAGAGGGGCAAGTTTCACGTCGAAGGCTAAAAGTGATATGCAGTGATTTGTTTTGGTTGAGTCGAATAAATTACGAGTTAATGTGAATTAGTATAATGACATGAGCGGATTGGTAGAGAAAATATTGGGGCACTCCAATATTATACCTACATTAGAACATCTCGAGTCCATCATCTTTGCAGGCGCCCAGGAGAAATCGAATAGGATGTTAGGTAAGAAACTTGTGGATTTGGGTGGGTTTGATGTTTATTGTGGAAGGGTTGGTTTCGTCTGAATTGGTCTAAATTAGAAAAGAAACAAATATTTCCATGGTAACTAAATGAAATTTATTTTAAAATTAAATACCACTGCTACCGATGATCTACTTTAAAAATGTCGGCCATAAAATACAATGTAAATTAGCGGAAACTGAGGAAGGAGTTGCAGTGCCATCATCATAATAATAATAATTACACACAACCTGACATGAACCTTGAAACTAAAACTTCTGACAACCTTTGTGCAGCTATAACTATCTGGCTTGTGACTAAGAAAATAAAAACAAACCTTCAAACAAATACACTAAATAATAAGACACTAAAATAAACCAAAAGATTTTTGGTTGCACAATAGAGTATTTAGTGAGAAAACTGAGAGGAAATAGATAACATTTGCTAATGATTCTTGGAAGCATCTGTATAAGAAATGCCATTCATACGCAATATTCGTTCGTCAAATTGTTTATTTACTAGCAAAATAAAATAGCTATTTTTTAATATTATATTCATTGATAAACACAATTTTTAATTTAAAAATTAATAGTTACATTCCGGTGCATGTAGATGGTACATGTGATATGGAAATAAAAAGAAAAATTTCAGATGGCAAAAAGACCATATCAATGCTCAACTCGGAATTATGGAACCGGAACATTATCCCCAAAACAAAAAAAAAAAAAACATCTACAATAGTATAATACTGAGAGTTGTGACATATCGGTCAGAAACGTGGACCATAAAAAGCAACCTTAGGAAGAAACTTCTAGCCACCGAAATGGACTACTGGAGACGAGTGGCGTTAATATCCAGAATGGATAAAGTCAGGAATACGACCATCAGAGAAAAGATGTAGGCTAAAAGAACAGTTCTGTAAGATTGAGATAAAACGCCTGAAGTGGTATAGCCATTTGAAAAGAATGCTAGAAGGAAGACTACCCAAAGAGGTCCACTTATGGAAAACTAAGGAAAGAAGAAGACGAGGAAGACCTGGGATAACGAAGTAGAGGAATCCATGATGTGATATTATGGAAAGAAGCCATCAAAGGTTTAGGTTAAGATAACTCACTATAGCTATATTAGTGTGGATGGATGTTTTAGCCCGAATTTGCTTTTTAATATATACAACGATAATTACTTTGGAAGAAAAAGAAAGAAACTAATTACCTATATGAAATGGTGTTTAAGAGATTCTTTAAGTCTTATTAATTATAATTACACGAACAATAGTACTTTTAGAGATGAATTTTTAATATTTTTTTATAAGACATGTTTATATTTTACCATTTTGAGGGTGAGGAAGCTTCAGCTCGAAAGCCCCTTCAGGGAAGCTGCAGCCCCCCTTTTGTTATGTGGTTCTTCCACATTAACTATATAGTCCAGTCAATGAATGATTATAGAAAGAAATGGAAGAACGGTGCTCGATTTTTACTTTGGAACTTTGTTTGTTCTAATAAGAAGGAAAACATACCAATAGTCCCTCCTAGTAAGTGGGGAATGAGTTCAGCTTTTCAGTGAGTTCAATTGCGGTGGCACCCAGAAGTTCAGTTTTTCTATTTTTTTTACATCAGAGAAATTATACGTCATAGCGATAAAGACGTTCTATACAATATTAAAGCGGATAAAATTCACAAACAAATTTATAATAATATTTTATGGCTACCTACGTAGTTTCGAAGATACTCATGCTTAATATTAGCCAATTTTGGAAAACAAAATATTCGCCTAACATTTTTATTTTCGTTTCGCAATCCAATTATTTTTCTCTTTATTCTATAAAAAAAACAGGGTATAAAAAATTAAATCAAACAACTTTCAATTGCAATTTCGATCCTAATTTTATAAAAAGTACCTCCGATTACATTATAAGGCTCCCATTTATCGAATAAATCAGAAGAAGTAAAATATATCGATACACAATTGTGCAATCTTAAAATCGATAGTATTTTATTAAAAAGTGTCTCCAATAACAAAATAATGGAACCTTTTATCGAATAAATCCAAAGAAGTAACATTAATCGATACTCGATCGTGCAATCTTAAAATCGACAGTATTTTATTAAAAAGGGTCTCCAATAACAAAATAATAGACCCTTATATGGAATAAATCCAAAGAAGTAACATTAATCGATCGTACAATCTTGAAATCGATAGTATTTTATTACAAAGGGCCTCCAATAACAAAATAATGGAACCTTATATCGAATAAATCTAAATAAAAATTAATCTATACTCGATTGTATAGTCTTAAAATCGTTTTTTTGTTTTGATTTTTTTTCGTAAAGAGCTCTTATAACTTAATAATGAATCCTAATTTTGAATATATCCGATAAATTAAATTTAGTTTTAAAAAATATTTTATTAAATTATTTCCTTTTCATATTAGAATAATGAATAATTCTAAAAATGAATTAGTACTTTTATTTATTCTAAGAATAATCAATTACTGAAATATTATTGAATGAAAATGTATTCAATAAATTAATCGAATAAAATTCATTCGATTTTAATTTTTAAAATCGCAATAAACTCCGGCAGTTATATATTCATAGATAAAGTAGTAGATATGAAATGACTCAGAATTTCTTCATTAAATTTATACTTTAAAATATGACTGAATATTGCTTGCAGTTGGTAGCAGTCAGATAAGCAAATATTTGATAAATATACCTCAAAATTGGCACGTG